TTGAGACAGGTTCTCTCACTTTGTTGCCAAGGCTAGAGTGTAGTGCAGTGGTGCAATCTTGGTTCACTGCAACCTCTACCTCCTGGGTTCAAGTGATTCTCCTGCCTCAACCTCCTCAGTAGATGGGATTACAGGTGTGTGCCACCACAGCTGGTGAATTTTTGTATTTTTAGTAGAGACAGGGTTTCACCATGTTGGCCAGGCTGGTCTCAAACTCTTGACCTCAAGTGATCTGCCCACCTCGGCCTCCCAAAGTACTGGGATTACAGACATGAGCCACTGTGCCTGACCCCATTATCCTTAATGTATTTATTTATTTGATCAGTTTCCCTGTATGTAACAGCTCACATTGCTGCTGTTATCCCCTATCTTTTGTGGATATCTGCCTCATTCCACTTGGGCTATAATATCCAACCCCAGTTCTTCTTTCCAAGTGGATATGATCTCCTCATGCTGCTAAGGTCCTGATACCTCATGTCAGGTCTGCTGTCCTGCATGGATGTCTTCCTCACTATAGTCACATTTTGACAGCACTCAGAGGGAAGTAGGGGCCTCACACAGTCCCTGAGCCTAAACCACATGGTCCAAGCCATCTTTACTACAGCTCAACACGGGGACATTGACACAGGTACTGATTGTATTACCTTCTTTTTCATTTGTTATTTCTTTTCTTTCACATATAGCTCTCTCTAGAATCATCCATGAGAGTGACAGGCCAAGAGGAAAGAATAATTGGGAGGGCAGAATTTGAGAATTACCACACCATTAATTATTATGTCTCTAAATTTAAGCCCAAGGGATAAAGATGTAATGAAAAATAGAGAAATACAGAATTATCATTGTTGTGTTCCAATATATGAGACATATTAAATTCTCTTCATTATAACAAACACCACACAGAACTCCTTGAGTACATATCAAAATATTCAGCTTAATAAATCACAAAGAAGTTAATCAAAGGCTGTGTATGATGGATGAGAACTGCCTTTAGTAGTAGCTTTTTAATTTCTATTCTATAACTTACTGCCATAATAATTGCACTCTTCACTTTATTAAAGAATTTTTTAGTATAAGTATGTCCCATATAATATCTGGGATATATTTTTGCTAAAAGAAATTTTTGCTTAACTGAGATTACAATTTAGTAGGGTGTCTTGTATTTTTATCTGTTATATATGGCAACCATAGGTAAGAAGAGAAGCCAAACATATCTCAGCTGCGTATTTTTCTAAAGCCATGGAAGAGTCCCAACCACTTTACCCAGAAAAGAGAATGTAACCCAGATAAAAACAACTGGCAGTGAGCTGGGGGTTCTTACTAATTTATCAGGACCAAAATTAACTAATAAAAGATGAGAGAAACAAACTTGGAAAGTGTCCCAACCCTAGGAGAAAAAGAGGGAGAGAAAGAGGGAGAAACCAAGAAGACAAAAGAGAGGAGAAAATACAAGGAAGAGAAAAGAGCAATAAAGGAAGAGGACAGAGGAAGAGAGAAAGAAGCCAAGAGTACAAGGAAGATACAGCCACAAAGGAGGAGACACAGCCATTGTCACTAGCTCAGCAGGAGAAGAATGGAGCCAAAGGCCATCAGAAGGAAACTCTGTGGCTATACCAGCTCGAGCTCCAAAGCAAAAATATCTCCAATCTCAAGAACCATGATCAGATGCTTATCAGAAGAAGACTAGTAAACTTAACATCCTATCTTCAAAGAAAGAGTAGCTGGACAAGCACTTATATCTGCACTTCATATTCAAGCCATAGGCCCAGATCGATTTTTTTGTTTGTTTTTGTTAAGGAAAAAAGCTTCTGCAATATTTCCTGTATTCATCTTCTCTGAAATAAGCCTCTGTGGATTTGTAAGAAACATCTTTTCTTATTTGTGGCTTTAGGAAACTATTGCAGTAAAATGTACCAGAGTAAAGTAATAACACCTCAAAAGATCTTACAAAGAAATCAGATATTTTAATACCACATAATCACAAATATATCCTAGAACTTAGTTTCCCTACACAGCAGAAGCATTAGACATCTCATTTGTATTCTAATAGTAACAATAAATAAGCATGTAACTCCAGCCACGGAGTTCAAGCAAATGAGGAAAGACAACCACAGAAACTTTAGAAAACATCTGATCCAAATATTTCTGTTAAAGAGACTAACTACTAGGTCAAATCTTATGTAGGTCAAGTGTTAGGAGGCTTGAGTCAGGAGGAAAGCTAGGAAACCATGATTGCTCACCCTCACCAGTTTACTCTAGCATGATTTCCAATCAGCAGCATCTTCTTTTCTTTATTCAAGGGCAAGGACTCTTGCTGCTAGAACCCACTTTGTGAAGTCAGCAGGCCTGAAAATGAACAACCCCTGGGAATAGCCCTCAAGTCCTTCTTAATTCTTTAGCTGGGACAGTTCTGAGGAGTGGGATCTAAGCTGGGTCCCAAAGGTCCTCCAGTGGCAGTGGGATTGAGCTCAGTCTCCCACCTCAATAGCTGGCATGATAACATACCCTGTATTTGTTACCTAATCCTTCTTGGTCTCATTTCCTCACTCTCTTATCAGTGCTCCTTTTACCTCCCAAATAAACTACCTGCACTTGAATCGTCTGCCACTGGGGAGCCCAAACAAACTCAGTCAGATTTCTGGAAGTTTGCCGTATCCAAAAATTTCTGACTAATGTAGTATATTATTAGAATGCAATTTGTTAATAAATCTCACTGTATTATACTTTGGTAATATTTTATTGTGCATTATAACAATTTCACTTATTTTTTCCCAATGAGCTTTAATAGATAGTACCCTAATTTAGGGTTCTTTCATTCATAGCACACATACACACATACACACACACACCCAAATATTTTATATATATATATGTGTGTGTCTATATATGTGTGTGTGTGTGTGTGTGTGTGTGTGTATATATATATATA